GTGGGGATAGGGGGTGGGGAGGTGTGCTCCTTGATGAGGAAGCTCGGCTTAAAGACACGTCCCAGGGGCGTTTCTGGTCCCAAAAGGCGTTTCTAGTCCCCACCTGTTGTTTTGCTCCTCAGCATGCCTTCCTAAAATCACTGCAGGATTTCTCAAACATGCATGATTGAGTCAAAGCAAGGCTTTGGGCATGTTTTTTTTATGAGAGTATAACATTATAACAACATATAAAACTCAAAAAAGTTGATTTTACATGATATTGCCCCTTTAAGAAATCTGACTAAACCTAAAAATGGCTATAGCTACAATTTTGCATATTGGGCTAAATTTTGGCGTGGCATTACCTAAGTCATTCCCAGGACATACTCAGATCACTATACATTGGTCCACATWTTTTCTTAAAATTTTGGCATCACCTAATGAAGCCTAGGTGTAAATTCAGACTGGAAGACTCTCTCCACCTCACCTGCTCCATCCAATCACCACGTCACGCTCCCAGCTCCTGTCAATCAGCGTCAGATCCTCGCCTCACCGTACCAATCAACTCACAGAGATCCAGGTCTAAAGGCCCAGCACCCAAGGATCAGTCTGCTCTCCTGACGTGTTCCACCTTCATCTCAGACTCTTCCTGGCTACCCCTTCCCTCTGGTCTCCACACCACCACCAGTGTCCGAGCCCCGGGGTGAAGACGTTATTCCTAAAACCTGAGCTGATTGCTAGCTCACAGTAGTTCGCTCCACCCACATCTTCTGTTGGGGCTCGAGCGCCAAAGAACTTTCTTATATCCAAAATTTTAACAGTATTTCTGTGTGAAAGTCTTTCCAGGTTGAATTGATGTTAACTCTGTTTGTCTTTTAGGATGGTTTAAAATTTGTAAACTCTTGTAACAACTGGAATTTTTTTTTTGTTTGAATATAACATTTCATATCCAAGTAAGTTTATTGTTTAATACTTACATCGCTGAGATGGTAAAGTGAAGTTGTTCATCACTTAACAAAATGTAACGCTGCCTCATTTTGATGTTCACCTCAAAACTTGGTAAAACTAGGATGTGTAACAGAATCAAAATGTGTAACGTTACTAAATGTAATCTGTTGATTTAAAGAAAGAAGTAAAACCCTTAAATTATTTTTGACATACCAAACTTTCGAACTTCGAATTCTCGGACAGCAGCGTTTGCTTCATCACCCTCATAGTACGCAGTAATCTTCCATGTGCCCATTCTGTTTAAAGAAAACATACATTGCTTTAGTTGTGATGCTACAACCCAATTCCAATGAAGTTGTAATGTTGTGTAAAACAAATTTAAAACAGAATACGATGATTTGCAAATCCGTTTCAACCTATATTCAATTGCATGCACTACAAAGATAAATGGCAAAACTTTTTTTGTTCAAATGTTCTCTCATTTTGATTTTGATGCCTGTACCATGTTCCAAAAAAAGCTGGGACAGGGGCAACAAAAGACTGGGAAAGTTGAGGAATGCTAAAAAAAAAGACACTTATTTGGTGCCAGCATCTCTGATGGTATAGGGGTATGTTGCTGCCCTTATCTGTGAAGGCACATTAGCGCCTAATAGGTACATACTAGCCTGGTAAAAACCAGACCCGTGTCCTTCATTTTGCTTCGTATGAGGGTCTGGACTCGCAGCTATAGAGAAGCGATGCTTGCTGGAGGCGTGGCCTCTGCTGAAGTGTGTGTGTCTCTGTGAAGGAGGCTAAGCTAAGAAGCTAACTGAAAATGGCGTGTGCTGTAAACAACCCTACTGAGAGGAGAAAAGTACCGAGCCAAACGAGACGGCTGTAAACGAGAGCTGCTGCTTTGTCAGACAAATTTGTTTTAATTTGGAAGCCTTATCAACACAGACTGGCTTTGTTCACTTCCTCCACTGTCGTATGATAAAATAACCAGCAGACACTGCGCAGAAAATTGACATCATTCAAAACTCCGCCTTCTGTTCTCTGATTGGCCCAGATAAAATAAACTACAAGCAGACACTGCGTAGAAAATCGACGTTCTGCTCTCTGATTGGTTCAGCTAAAAATCTGCCAGCGAAATCCTTGTCTATGGGAGAAATCCCAGACAGGGCAGTGAAGGGAAACTAGAACTGAGCRGAGCTGCGTAGGAAGGCAAGGGCCAGGCTAGGTACATACAGGTTTTSTAGCAACATTCTGCCATCCAAGCCACATACAATATATTTGAAAAGGATTTGCAAATCTTCTGTTTTATTTATGTTTTACACAACATCCTAACTTCACTGGAATTAGGGTTGTATATTAGAGTTTATTAACGTACTTTGATGCACTTGGTATGGGGAATAGGCTTTGGTAAATCCCGTTCTTTGAAGCCTTCAAGGACTTCATTATTCGGTTTCCAGCAGCATTCTGTCATGGAACAAGGAGCATCAGTTATGACTCTAAACCCTGAAAATATATTGTAACRATATTTCAAAGTTGTCTTTATTCTTAAACGAAATAAACAAACTTGGGTACTCACAAATACTGATATGAAGAATGGTTCCTTGTGCGGCCTAAACGAGTGGTCAAGACTGAAAACCCTGTAATTTACTAAAAAGAAATGCTTGCCAGTTATTCTTCTATGAAATACTCACCTTCATATAAAATTATTACTTTAATTTTTATTTTTATTTTACCTTTTTGTGTTGGGTTGTACATTGGCTGATCAGTCTGTATGAAGATATATCCTCTGTGATTTGAAACCAGAACCCTTGTTATCTTCCTTTTATTAGGAGTTCCAACTTCTGCCACAAGATTAAGGTAGGGCAGATGAAGTCCATTGTTTTGTCGGGAAGTYAACCACATCTCACTGTTTATCTGTGAAAGTGCAAATGAGTAGTTTAAATTAAGCATCTAAGTCCTCGCTATAGTGCATTTTGTTCTTAAAGACATTTTTATACCATCAGTTCAACTATTTTGATTTCCCCGTTTTGAGTACAGCGAGTAGCTTCCTTTTTTGACATAAGTGTCCCGGTATTTTCATCTTCCAGGTAGAGAGTGACGGGTCGTTGGAGACAATCATCTTCGATCTGGACGAGCACTTTCTCKTTCACACCCAAGTGAAACACATTGGGGGCTGAGATGAAGAATCTGTATTCAGACAAACTGTATTTAGGTTTTTTGTTTAAGACTCAAGATTTCATTTACTCTATTGTAATTTTCCTGGGTATTTCCATATACACATTTTCTCACTTATGCTTCGCCTTAAAATATACGTATATAAACTTACCAGAAAAAAGTAAGGAAATTGGTGTTTGGTAGATTATTTCTTTGTCTCTTGTCAATAAATCTAATAACATTGCAGCTTGTAATTTCCCTTTTAAATTGTGCCACATTTGTAAGGAACATGCATCTGTGGAATGAGTATTAGAGCTGAGTATGAGGGTTGCGCACATGAAAAATTTGCCAACTTTTCTCTGGCGTACCGCTTATTTTACTGTTGCTATTGACATTTGTTTTGAGTTTCTACTCCCCCAGGTGCTGCCAATCAGGTGCCTGCTAAGATTTATTGCCAAGAAGCATTGTTGCAACTAATAATCTACCGAATACAAATTCTTACTTTTTGTGCAAAAGTATATATACTCATATATAAATACACACATCACGGATAAAAAGCACAACCTAAAATAAAAATGATAATTAAAAATGTCAAATAATTCGTAATTTATAACTGTAACAAATAAAAACACTCCTGCATTTTTATATTGACACAATTTAAGCTTTTTTTATACAGTATATGCATGGCGAAAATGTAATTGTCATATATTTTATTGTAAATGTCACATTAAGAGTTGATAAAAAAATCTAGGAATTCATAAGTAATGACCTCATCAAATTACATGGTGATATAATGTTGACAAATAATTTTCCTTTACCTGTCTGAGCCCTCCCCAGCAGAGATCAGGAGAAGTACTGAGACAATGCACAGCTTCATTTTGCAGCTGCTGTTGCCTCCCCCGCTCTGACTCAAGCTCTGGAAAAACTGGGCTTTTATAAATTCTCCTCCCCGTAGTTTCTCAATCGTTGAATCGAGCCATGCCCTCTCTTTATTTATCTACTAAAAAACTTGGAAATATCGAGAAAAATCACTTTTTCGGGAAGATGCAGATGCTGTCTGGTACTAAACAAACACAACTGTCATAGCGTACAGGTAACATATGRCATAAATGTGTTTGAGGTTTTTATGTAAATACTTATTTTAAAGAGAAATGTTACRTAGATCTTAAAAAATAGAACTGTCATAGACTGAGCGTGCAATTCTTGGAATGTCATGTTTGATTTCCAAAGGTTTTAAATCATTGTTTGGCTCAACATGTGTTTGCTTCAGTTTCACAATCTGCAACCCGTTCCCTCATTGCTGCAGTAAGCCAGGTTTCCCCTAAATCATGTGACTTACAAGAAATCAAAAGTTTTCAATGTGGATTTGCACAAATAGTGCCATTTAATTTGAACTTAGGATACATCAATTTAAAAAAACGACAAATTATTTCAATTTTAAACTTCAATAAAATTTCTTGTGCATAATTTTAATGTCAATAGTTACTAAAGCCAAGTTTTCCCAACATAAAAGTCTTGTGTTTTGTACTTGGAAAGTGGGGTCATTGTTTCTGTGCACATATTTAAAGTCATATAAAGCCATATAAAGTATGTTATTGCAAAAGTGTATTTAAAGTTTCAAACTTTTTCCTCTTTTTCTTTCAACTTACATCAAAGACGCAACAAAACTGCAAGTTCCTGAAGTAGATATTTAACATCAGTTTGTAAAAGTCTTGAGCCACAATGTAATTCATTCATATATTTTGCTTGAGAAAAGACAAATTACACAGGTTATATTAAATAAACTGCAACATTAGGCTTCGACAGTTCAGATCAGCTTTTATTCAGTTTATTTGTGTAGTGAAAATTGACAACAAAAGTAATCTCAATGTACCACATTGGAAAAAAAAGAACCATGTTCATTGAAAATTCATCTTATTATCTAATTTAATCCAGTTACAATCCACTTTTATTGAATTCAGTCCACAATGAGGCCTATCAAAACTTTCAAACTAAGAAAGCCAATAAATGACACTGAGTCTTCAGTTTTATTTGCAGTAGTTCCTGTTTAGGCTTGTGAGGAACTGAAGAGGAACTTCAGCAGAAAGAGACCTCCTGCAGCTCCAGTCAGGACGGGCCGCCATCTTTCAGGCTGGAGGGTGTGAGGAGGAAACAGAGACAAAGAAAGACACAAATGCACATTGTCAGAGATACCTGCTAGACAAAAGAAAAGAAGAAAAACACTTTCTGACAGCAATGAAAGCATGTACAAATACACACATGTACGTTGAACAGTTTTAAATGTTTCACAGGAAACCTTTAGAGAACTAAATCTAAAATAAACAAGTTTAATCAGCTGAAGGCTTTTTAAAAAAGATTTTTCACTTCCTAATAAGAGATATTTACAGTTGTTTAGCCTAGAAAATGTTTAAATTAGTTCTGCATCACCCAGTATTGAGAGTGAATATTTAAGCTATTCTGAGCAGGTGAATGAAGAAATACCTCTTAGAAACTTGTTTTATGTGTGAGTTAAAAGATCTTACCTGGCGTATAT